CTAGTGCCACTTATAGATAATATGGGGGTGGAATTTTAAAAATCCAATTGATATCTTCTCTTCCAGTATATTTCACTTTCCAAAATTACTTTTCCAAAATCTTTTCATCTGATCATGTGGGTTATCTGGTATTGTTCAGATAACATGAATTGAAAAAACAAACTTCTGTGAATGAGGACAAAATAAGGACTGACTAAAGAGAGTTTAATAAAGGAGTTATATCAAAGATGTGGGTTAGCCCATGTTTATTGTTGCTCTATTTACAGCAGGGAAAACATGGAATCAACCCAAATGCCCAAAAATAGATGACTAGATTAAGAAGATGTGGTACATATACACGATGGAACATTATTCAGCCGTCAAAAAAGATAAACTCGTGTCTTTTACAGCAACATGGATGGAGCTGGAAGGGATGATGCTTAGTGAAATAACTCAGAAAGAAAAGGAAAAATACCAGATGATTCCACTCATAGCAGGAACATAAGAGATCAGGGAAGAAAAAGAAGAGACTAACAAATGTAATAAAGTAAAAATGAAAATAATGAACAACAATAAACCAGAGATATTTTATGGAGGTGCAAGGGGGGATGGGGATCGGAACTGGAGTGGGAAGAGAGTGCTGGACTGTGGTGATGGCACATGGGTGAATTGGTGTTGGGAGGCCCATGGGGATTACAGCTGAGGTGGAAAAATTCCAGGGGAGAAAATAATAATAATAATGAACAGCTATATACCACAGACATTTTACGGGGGTGGAGTGGGGAATGGGATCAAAAATGGGGGTGGGGGGAATGCACTGGACTGTGGTGATGGCACATGGGTGTGATTTGGCGATGGGAAGCCCATGGGGATTACAAATGAAATGGAAAAAGGCGCAAAATTGATGTAAAAATAAACTATTATATCATTTTTTTAAAGGCAGCATTAATTAAAGAAAAGCTTTTAGAACCAAAAAAAAAAAAGTATTCAGATCACTAGGAAATTATCACAAGTTCAAATACACATGTACTGATACCATCATTTCAAAACAAATAGATAATATCAACTTAAAACAAACTATGCAAAAAAAAAATCACCAATTTGCAAGGTGAAATGTGAAGCTCTATAACCATCATGAAGCATTTTAACGTTCTTTTTTCCGTAACTGGTAGTTCAAGCAGGCCAAAAAGTAACTGAGGATTGGGAATGTTAAAACAGCTTAATGAGAGCCTCCCAGTTGCCAAAGGGGTTAAGTCTCAATGCTAATATCCCTACAGCCTGAGTTTGTTGTTTTTCCTTCTCCAGTCTTCATAAATGATATATATATCTTCTCCTCAGAGAGGAAGTTGGTGAAATTCTCAAAATCAGACTGACTTTTTTGTTTTTGAAACTCTATGTTCTCCTAGAATACAGCAAGTGTGTTCAAAAGGGGAAAACAAACCAAATATTTATATATAGATAAGTCAAAAATGTGGTATCACAGTGGGAATCTGTTGGCTCTTAGGAAAGAAGAACTCCATCCACATGGGGACATGGACAAATCCTTGAAGATATTGTTATAGGACACCCCAAATCTGTTAGAGGACAGAATCTGTTACAGGACAGGGGGAGAGGGGCACCCCTGAACCACTAAACCTGCCTGCTGTAAGAGGGTTCTGCCATCTGCTGCGTCAAGACAAAACATATAAAACTTTAATGAAAAGGGACTTTAATACAGTGAATATACAATATGGAACACAAAGAATATAACTTCTAAATCAAACACCTGAAGTGACCCATCTCCTTGTGGGCAAAAGTCAACCCAAAAGGGATTGGCCCAAAGCAAGGTCTGAAAGCTGCCACAAGACTAAAGCACCTTCTGGCCGGGACCCATGGAAAAGGGTCAGAAATGGCCAGACAAGGCTGGGAGGAAAAGAGCAAAATCAAAATCAATATAAACACTGCCACAGTCACCTCCCTACAGGTCTCTCACCCACATCTGCCTTAGCCAGTCCAGGGCCAGGAAACAAGCATGGCTTCTTCCTCACAGGCTTGCTGCTCCATGTGGCTTCCCCAGGTCTCCTCCTGGCTCTCCATCCTGCTTCCTTTCTTTTTTCTCCTCTGATTCCTTCTCTCCTTTTTCTCTGCTCAGCTCCACCCTCCTTCTGGGTGGGGCAGCGAACCTGGAACTTCCCCTTTTCCTAGGGACCCCTCTGTTACAATATGATAAGTGAAGCGATTCAGACAGATAATGCAATATTCCTCTTCTGTGAGATACCTAATCAATGCATGCACAGAAAGTAGAGTATCAGGAGGTATTTTTTCAGATTTTATTTATTAAAAACAATACAACAAAAACAGACAACTATAAATTAGAGACATTCTGCAGGGGAGAGGGGAGGAGAGAGTACAAAATGAGAGTGGTGTTGTTATAGGGCACCTCAATTCAGAGAGAGGCACCCCTGAAGCCCCAAA